AGGTTATGGACAAAATGGGCTAGACCTATTGGACCCAAAAATCACCACACATGAGCGAGGGCTCGCCGCCGTCCGTCCGGTCGGGCGGGCTGGGCCTGGGCTTGGGCGCAGGTGCGTGGTGTGAGGTTGGGTTGGGCTTGTTCGGCCCAATACTAATCTTTTTGGGCCAAAAACATTTGAATTTTATTTTATTTTTTGGTAAAATAAAATCCAGAATTCAAATTAAACCGAAAATAAACTGGTTTGGTTTTACTGTACATCCAAACAAGACCCTTCCCGAAATAAACTAGTTTGGTTTTTAACGTACATCCAAACAAGGCCCTTCTCGGTTTTGTATCTGTTTAAATTTGAACCCAACAGATTCAAATCTGTTTGAATTCAAAACCAACAGGTTTCATACCTGTTCAATTCAAAACCAGCAGCCACCTTTACATTTATAAATAGACTAGCCTCCCATTTGGATTTTAACTCTAATTTTCGTACTCCATCCTCTACTATAAATATCTGCATTTTGCTGTATTTATTTTCTGAAAGAAAGAGTATAAACACTTAGTGTGTTCGTAAGACAAATAATTTGTAATGCTGCTATTGTTTGTAGTAGATCATTTCATTTTGGGAGATAGACTTCCAAATTCTGAAAACATCGTGGAGAGGACGAATCTGTCTTAAGGACACAGTGTCAAACACTGGACTTGATCAGATTATAATTCGAAGAAATTAAATCAAGGAAGTTATTTAATTAATTTTTGTGTTATTGTTATGTATTTAAATCAGATTTTAATTTATTTTTGTAACAAAATAAAATTTGTTTTTATTTATTTATTTATTATTTCGAGTTTGATTTTTGTAATCAAACAAATTCTCTCATTTTCTTTATTTCTTTAAATTCTAGTTGTTGTTTTTGTATACAATAGAATTAAATCTTATAAATACAATGAAGATTGTCCAACAGCTGAATCTCAACCCTTGGATGAATCATTTTAGGAGATCACTTTAGAAATAACACTCTAGAGGATCTTAACTCCCAAAAGAAGCCTAAACCAAAGAATGGTTGCCACGTACCTTGCATGGTTTTGTGTCCGGTAAACAATCAAATCTGAAAAAACCCATCTATACAAGAATAATATATTACTATATGTACAAAAAGCACAAGATCACAAAGCTGCGCCTGCGTGGGAGATGCACAAAAATCATGGCCCATACTTTAATCCCAAATGGTGGGTCTCAAAACAAACCAAAAACAAGGCAGACACTCAGAACCGCAGATTGAAATGGAAAATAAATAAAAATCTGAATTTCACTTTTGCTTTTAAAATAATGCTCTACTTTCTTCAAAGCCTTCAACAGATTTACAAACTAGAATTTATTCTCTGTTGAACACAGAACTTGCAAAAATATATTATGTATTTTTTATAGAAATGATACATTTTTCTAATTTACGAGTTCTAAAAGAGTACTAATTATGTAGAAAATCAAAAAAAAAAAAAAGAAAAAAAACCAAAGCCAAAACATAAAGAGAAAAGAAGAAAGAAAAGAAGAAAAGGAAAAGAAAAGAGAAAGGAAAAAGAAAAAAGAAAAAAGGGAAAAGAAATCAACCATCAAGCTAGGGGTATTCATTGGAATGAAATCCAAGCAACTGTGAGGAAATGAACTTTTGTCCAAATTCGGGGAAGCCAATGTGAGGAAATACCACATTGAAAGAAGAACTAACTCTAAAAATAGAGTGCAAGAAAGGACGAAGACATGCATAAAAGAATGGAGAACCAAGCTCAAATCAAGGCGAAGCCAGTTCCAGTGTTAGGGCAAGGATGGCTATTGATCAAATTCACCACAAATGTTATAACGCTACCCTTGAGAGGCTCGCTAGACTGAAAACTCGAAAGGGCGACCTAGGACAAAGTTAGAGCATGAAAAATGAGAAATCAAACAAATATAGCTCGCAAGGTTGAAAATCTTAAAAGGGCGGCTTTGCAAAAGTTAGAGCGCAAAAGGAGAGTGTCAACACCCAAGTGAACCTCAGCCATGAACTACCTTGACCTGATTCCCACACTTAGGATATGTAGACAACTTCATCCTGAAGTTCGGTCTCAACCATGTCCATCTTGTTCGTCTTGACCCAATTATCTTGCCTGATTCACATTGCCAACTTCACATTAATCCATGAGCTACACCGACTGTTGCACATATTATACTTGTGTTGTGTCAAAAAGAACTAGCTTGCATCAACAAGTGGAGAAATTTTCAATACTTGAACTTATCAAATGAATCTCTAACTTGAACAAAAAATGAATCAAAACTCGGGTTTTGCGAAATTGCATTTTAAAGAGAACATAAGTAATACTAGGGGTACTATAAATGATCAGTCACCTTAAGTCTTTTTCTGCTTTTAGGTCAGTTGTGGGTTTTGTTATATCGTGCTTGGTGTTTGTCTCGGTCAGCGCTCTTCATCAAGTCACCATAGCGTGTCTGTCGCTTAAAAGCGTTCTTCATCGAGTCACCATAGTGTGTTTGATTGACGGAGTTGACAAACCAGACCTTGATACTTCTCCTAATAAGTCTATGAATGAAGAAATAGAAAAAGTTTAAGAACATAGACTGCAGAAAAGGACAAACTTGTTCAATTTTATATTGATTTATGTATAAAAAGAAGAATCATAAGGAATAAATTTGCTTTGGACGTTCATATGATATAACAATTATGGATTGTAACCTTGGTTCGAGAAGGGTAGTGAATTAATAATATTGCTATGGTATATGGCCTTTGAGTGCTGTTATATATTAGCTTCCTAGCTACTTCATGTAATTACTAAGAAAATAATCTAAGCATATGATCATGACGTGACCAACAATTAATTGTTTAAGTTTTATTTAAAAATTTTAACGAGTTTTAAAATTTGTCCAAACTTAATTCATTAAATTTTTAAACTGATTTCAAATGAACTTTTGTTAAGCCATGCTCAAGTAATTTATTTATTTATTTGTTTTTTATAGTTTTATATTTATCGAACTAAGTTGAATGAGCACTATTTAAGGTTTGTTTAAAATCTTTAATGAATTACAAAAAATGTTCAAGATTGATTTGTTACTTAACGAACCAAGTTTAAACGAATTTTTAACAAACTAAACATGAGTTGATCTCAAGTTGTTTGGTTGGTTTATCATCTCTAATTATGACCTTCTCATTTACATGATTCTCTCTCTTCTACACCTTGTTTTTGTGTTTTCTACATATAGATTCCACATTATTAGTCTGTATTTGAATCATGAATAGAATTTTTTTTTTTAAATATAGATAAAATATAATTATATTTTTTTCATGATTTACTCATCTTTTTTATTTTTTCTTTCCAAATCTCTACTTAAATCCATGATTAAAATACAATTTAACCCCTTTTTTTTTTTTCTTTTTTTTAATGTTTGTTTGTTTGAGATGTGCAGATAGTCTTCATCACTGAGTTTGAGCATTCAAAATGGAATTGGGTTGATTGATTCTCTACTCTTTTTTTTTTTTCTTCTTTTTTTTTAAAGTGAACAAGCTAAAAGTAAAAACAAAAATGAGTTAGACCACTAAAAAGAGAAATACTAATAACTCTAAAATGATGTGGGTCTCACATGATGAGATGTTTTACTCTTGTGTTTTGTTTTGTTTTTTTTTTTTTGAATTTTCACCTCATTAGTGGTGCATTAATCCTTCCAAATTAAAATGAGTGAGACCACTAAAAAGAGGAATACTAATAACTCTAAAATGATGTGGGTCTCACATGATGAGATGTTTTACTCTTGTGTTTTGTTTGTTTTTTTTTTTTTAAATTTTCACCTCATTAGTGGTCCATTAATCCTTCTAAATTAGTGGAATGAACCATTGTTGAAGTAAAAACTGTCCCAAAATTTCAACGCCCATTCAAATGAACTTCCACATGAAGCCCAACCCATGCACAGACTGGGCTGAACTTCCAACCTTCTTAGGGCCCAAGTAACAAACGCCATTATGTGTTTCAGACAAGCAACAACTAATTAATGTCAATTGGGCCCCACACACCTCCGCAAAACAATAATGATAAGTGACCCGAAAAATGATAGTTCAAATGGCTAGAAATATTCAAAACGACGTCATTTTAAGTATAAAATGATGTTATTTTGATACATTCAAGTTATAAAAATTCAGATCACCAAACATTTTCTCTACTCAAATATCTCATTAGTAATGTTAGTATCCAAAACTTTTATTAAAATTTTTATTATGGGATTTTTTGAAAAGTTGTAAATAAGTACACGTTTTGACTTTTTATGAAATATGTGTTGGGTTTAAAATAATGTAATTTAAATAAGATGATGTGATTTAAATAGGATAGTAATTTTTTGACTTTTTTAAGTTAGGATAAACAAAACCTAAATATCTTATATAAGTGTGTGATTTATATTAATCTTACCTCAGGTAAAATATTTGATAAAATTTTTAAAATTTATAACATTTATAATATTTAGGATTGGTTTGGCAAGTTTCAAAAAAATTCAAAAGTCAAAAAGTCAATATCCTATTTAAGTCATATCATCTTATTTAAATCACATTACATCTCTAATACATCGATTCAAACCCAATCCAAATTCAACCCATATTTAATAAAAAATCAAAAAATACATTTATTTAAATTATCCCAAACAATTCTTAATATATCAAATTCACAATATAAAAGATATTTAATAAAAAATTTAATACAAATTTTAAATTTCTAACATTTTTTATATCCCGCGAACAACTAAGAACGCACTTGGACTTTTGGTGAAAAATATCATCATAACTGTCCATCATCACAAACCTATGCATCATCATAACTGTACTCCTCTTTCGATTTCGAACTTTCTTTTTTCTCTCTCCACTTCTTTTCTCTTCTAGACTTCTTCAGCCATAACCAGTAACACTCAAGTTCAATTGTCCACATACCTCAACCCCCCCTCTCTCTCTCTAGAAATACTCTCCCTCTCTCTCGAAATACTCTCTCTCTCTCTCTGTTGCGGTTTCTTGGAAGGTACGACTACTCTCCTCTGCTTCCTCTTTTTTTTTTTTTTTTTTTTTTCATATTTGTTCTGAAGCATCGAATCGAATAGAATTGCAGAAAGGAAAGAGGTTTTGTTTGTGTGGTGTTGTTATTGTTGTGCATGACGAGAGCTTCGGGGCTGTTCTACAACAGGAGGTCGCGTTTCGTCGGCCGAAATACTGGTATCGATTTAGGGCTCGATTCATCTCTTGATCGGAGTTCCACCTTCCACCACCAGACTCAAGGCAATCGCCGCCGCCGCCGCCACCACCAACAACATCATAGCAACTCTCGTCGTGATCGTCACGATCTGGACGGCTTTGAACCTCTCCCTCGGTCTCCACACATCATCAGGCAATCGTCTCATCATCGCTCTTCTCATCTTGTGAGTTCTCAGTCTTCTAAATTCTTCAATTACGAGATCCCTTGGCAAGTATATTTTGTGTTTCATAGCAATTGTAGTGTGACAGAGTAGTGTGTGCAAATTGAGGGGCTTGTCTATAGAATTTGATTATTATTAGGGAACTTACGTGTATGTCTAATAGGTGGAGCATATGATAATTAATGGAGTTTTTTATCAAATACTATTTAAAAAGTGTTACTAATTATTAATTTCAGCGACAGTTTAAAATTTTGTCATAAAAAATTGTCTAAAAAAGTCACTAATTTTTAATTTTCAGCGACAGTTGAAAAATTTATCACACAAAAATATCACTAATTATAAGTTTTAGTTATAAGTTTTAGCGACAATTTATAAAACATGTAACAAAAAAGTCAGTTAATTTTTTAGTGACATGAAAAAATTGTCACAAAAAATTATTTTTAGCAATGATTTTATTAAGATTTATTTTCAATAGGACTTGATGAGAATTAAGTCCAACTATTAGGAATTATTGGTAGTTTACCCTTATTATTATTACTTTTGGTTATTTTATGTAATGTAATTGTAGGTATAATCTTACAAATTCGCTTGTTCTTTTTGTAATCTGGAAATTTCATTACTTATTGAATGGATTGTACATGGCTTATTGCCATTTTTCCACTTAAGTATTAGTTTAACTTTGGCACTTTCGTCGGTAACAAAATAGCCACCAAATTCACAGACCATTTTTTATTGGTAATTTAAGAAATTCAAAACCCTAGGCGCTAGGCTAATTCATAGATCATTTTAACAGCTGAATAGGTCATGTCAAGTGAAACACAAACTGTATGAAGCATGGCATGAACTTTCCTAGAGCTTGTTGATTAAGATTTGTCAAAAGAGAATCATATGAAGCATGGCGTGAACTTTCCTATAGCTTGCTGATTAAGATTTGTCAAAAAATAATCATATGAAGCGTGGCATGATCTTTCTTATAGCTTGGTTATTAGGATTTGTCAAAAGATTGTCGCATTATATTCAACTCAACAAAGCCTTGTCCCTACTACTTAGGGTGCTACAACTCGAATGTTCTCAGGGTTCATGTCTATAGGAGATGAATAAAGTTATTTAGCTACCTGCTGTAACTCCTTTATCTAGACTTGGGACCGACTGTATAAAGATAAAACTCTGAGCATGGGTAGAAGTTTCTCCTTGCATTATAGTGTGCCTATTTAGAAACCAAAGTTTACACCTTGGAAACAAGCTAAAGAAATATTTTGCCATGAATTGTGTGGAAGGAACACACACTGTTTGTGCTTATGTTAATCATTGTGGAAAACTAGACAGCTTTACGCTCATTATTATTTCACATTTTGGCATGCTCAGGAGCGTGATACAGTTCAACTCGATGAAGGTAGCAGCCAATCTTCTTCAGAAAACATTATCAATTCAGATAATGTTAATGCCTTGCGCAATAGGCTCAGGCTCAATGGGAATGAGAGGCTTCCTGGAGCTGTGCTACTTGCAAGGGAAAGGCTTCTTGAAAGATTGAGAGGTGTATCTCTATCTGGAGACAGGTTAAACTTCTTAATCTTTTTTCTCCATCATGTATTTGGGCTGTACCTAATCTTTCATAGTTAAATGCCTCACTATAAAATACGGGTGAACAATGTTACAACTCCAGATGTGATCCCAAGAGTTTGAAGCTTTAGGCTGTTTCTTTTTCTCACCGACTTGCTGAATATGTCTGTTTCTTCTAAGATTTGAAACCATGATTTTTGTCTAGGATTTCTTTCTCTCGTTAAGGAAAAGCTCCAATTCTTTTCCTCTATTCCCTAGACAAGAAATTTGTTCCTCAAGGTCCCTTCTAAAAATATATAGCCCATGAGGCCATCAAAAGTTTGAAGTTCTGAAATGAACTTAAACTTGTGCCCCCAAGCATTTGGTTGAGATGATAAACTGTTCTCTTCTCTTCTTTGACTACCCTCTTGCACAAGCTATTAGGTAATTTTGCTCCTTGAGGGAGGTTGATAAAAAACTTGGTGTCCCCTGGATGCTGCTGCTTTTCCAAGTCTACTTTTGTGTGAACTGGCACAGTAGAGTTACTGTCTTTTGGGCTTGCACCATGTTTACTATCTTGGGTTATGATTTTCTTGACCTGTAGTAGTACAGTAGTAGACTAGTAGTAATAGTAGCTTCTGTTGGGGTTACATGACCTGATTGAATTTTGTTGTTAAAATACTGCGTATGGGCCGCTCTTTGGCACAAGCCTGATGCAGTACTCAATCTAGAAGCAAAATCATACTATAAATAGTTCCTTGAAAATAGTTAATCCTTTTCTAACAAATTGATTCAGAATATGTGAATTACAACTTGCATTCTCTCTTGCATTGATATGCTGGGTAATTGGTTGTTTGTGTTGTTTATTATTATAGGCAAAGCAACACGGCTTCATCAGGCATCAATCGTAGTGATCTCACATTTTGGGATGCTTTTAGGCTCATTGTTGCAGGAGACTTGGAGACTGAAACTTCGAGGGAATGGTTATCTGGAGACATCCTCTATACTGATCCAATGTCTCAAACTGACCAGCTTTTAGGGCCACAAGAAATTAGCAATAGACCACCTGGACTCACTCAGGAGGCCCTGGGCTGTTTGCAGATGGAGGTTTTCAGCAATACCGAATGCAGTGATGAAGCAGAAAAGTCAAGGGCATCACGAGAATGTGGTATATGTCTGGAGAGTTTCCTGGAAGGAGATGAGCTGATATGTTTGCCATGCGGGCATAAATTCCACTCCTGCTGTTTGGATCCCTGGGTTCGGACTTGTGGGGATTGCCCTTACTGTCGAAGAGGTATTGTTGTAACTAGTCCTATAGAGCAATGAAAAAACATAATAACCTTTCATTGATATGCGGCTGTGTTAGGTTTTCTTACACCTTAGCAGAGATTTGGAACTTGGCCTCATTAGAGTGCAGTTGATTTCTTTGTATTTTAAAGAGTGTGTTTGATTTATGATCTAAAGTAGTAGCTGTGGCTTAATTTTATTGTAAATCAGGATAAATGATAAATCTAAATATTAATGGAAGTTTAAACTGTCACTTGCTGTGTTGACTTTTTCTGTTCTACCTCCCAGTTAAGCATTTCTCTCTCTTTCTATGAACAAGTGCACTTAAAAGTTGTTATTTTAGCATCTCAATCTCATTATCATTGTATTCTATCTTAACTAAAAGATTCACGTGAACTTGTATTCGAGAAAAAGAAGTCATGAGACTTCAAATCTGATATATTGATAATTTCTTGTTCTGATGAGCTCAGAATTTCAATTCTGAAATTTCAAACTCAAGTGACTAGCTAGCTGACTGAAATGTTGTTTGTAGCAGCCAGGAGAATTAAAATTTTATATAACATGTAAGCAATTGGAGAGATTATAGTTTACCAGTATGGGAAATAAAAGCAAGAAATGATATGAAAATCGGAAATGTGATCCAAAAGTATTATGCAAAACAAGAGATGCTAAATGATAAAAATTCAACAAGATATTTATAAATAAAATAAAATTTAAAATTCCTAAAAATAATAATATAAAATATTAAAATACTAATGCTACACAATATCTATAGAAACATACTAGAACAATTATATAATTGCTAACAAATAAGATTTCCGACCATAAAAAATTGTAAAAATTATGACACTCATTTTTAGAGAATTTCCTTATCATTTTTAATGAGTTTTTGTTAAGTTTCTTTAAATTATACTAGAGTTTTTGAAATGTCTTGAGAACATTTCATAGAAGTTTCTCTTAAAATTTCAGTAGAGTTTCACCTCCATTCTAGAAAAAAACTTCCTTTATTGAAGAGAGTTTTCTGGTAACTATGTGATGCAGAGCTGTTGGCAGACACATATTTGGAGAAGTTAGTTTGTAGAATAGTGAAGTGGTAATTTGGGTTTGAGCCAACAGCGTCATATTTGATAAAAAAGAAAAGGGATCATGTAGTGTAAATGGCTTATCAAACATGGACCTTCCAAATCAAATTTGACAACATTGGCCTAAACCCATAATTACTATTTTGTCAGCATTGCTACTACCTTCCTAAGACTGACTTATTTGTACATTGTTGAACATCATATCTAGGTTTAGTAATGTAATGCTTCAAAGCATATAGTTCTTTTTTGTTTTTGCTTCTATGTTTGATGCCTTGATCTTACAAACCATGCAAGAAAGCAAGTGTGGCTCTGTTTCTTGAAATTGTTTGTTTCAGTTTCTTCTTTTTGTTTGGCGTTTGCAAAACTTTAGTTGCCATTTCAGTGTTGCCAATGGGAGACCTTAACAGTTCTCAATTTGGTAGTTTAAAACTTTAGTTGCCATTTCAGTGTTGCCAATGGGAGACCTTAACAGTTCTCAATTTGGTAGTTTGAAGTTTCTACTGCTTTCTTGTCCTTTATTGGCTTTACCTGCTATATATCAAACACACACTTCATTGTCCCAATCATTAAAATAGCATAATTTTTAAGTTTCAAGCTTGTTACAATTATCAGTCAATAACCTGTGATTATTGATGTTATTGTAATCAATTTAAACTGCTATCTTGCTGTTGTTTTTGTCAAAGTGATGATTAGATGGTACAAATGCTCTGTTACTATAGATCCCTGAAATTTTACTGTATAATGTGTTGCATTCATGAACATATTTCTGAAACTGTTGCATGAAAATATTTTATTGGATTTGTCAAATACATACATCAATCTAGTACGAATAGGTCACTGAATTCTTCTCCGGAAATGGCTGATTTCATCACATCATCCGGTGTTTGAAGTGATTTTGCTACATTTCTCGCCACATCCTCTAAAGTAGGCATCACACCTCTGTCCAAAAACATAGCCACTGCATTCTTTGAAAATCCATTCACAGTGGTTACCCCTTTATGCTTCATCCCCGGGTTACCAACACAGTCACTGAGGTTCCAAAATACAATCTCTGGTAATGCCCTGTACCCTCGGCTCTGATAAATCGAAAAGCTCGCCCACACTCCCCAGAAATTATTAGCCGCCTTCTCAAACCCCATTTCGGTGAACACGAATATCTTCCTCACCATCTTATCCCAGGTTAGCCTTTCTGCAACAGCAACTTGCAGGACTTGCTCAAACACCTTCGAAAAGCGTATGTTCGACCCACACTGCATTTGTTTCATGAATTCGATCTTGGATCTAAGATTGTCTCCTTCAATATTAACAAGTTTCAGATCAGTGTCGAATGATAAAACCTTTCCCTTCCATGGATGATCGTTGAGTTCTGAAATCAGAAGCCCCATTGCAATGGAAAAGCAGCCCATCTGAGTGCCTCTCATGGCTTCGGAGACATTGCAAATCGCCAGACAGTTCTTCAAGTCCCCCTTCTTTGCCATGTCCTCGACCAATCTCTGCCATTGACGCTCTGCAAGTTCAGTATCCAAAGAAGCTACAATTTGGTGGGGAAGAAGCCGAAGTCTTCTGCCACTGCACTCTTCTGCAGTTTCTAGGAAAGCCCTAAACCTTTCGTCATCATCTTTTGAAAACAGATTGAAGTAATTCTTCTGGTAAGCTCTGAACAGTTTTTCGTGCATTTTTTTGACAAACCTCTTCTGGGTTTCTCTCATAGAGTCCGGTGAGCCACGTTTCGCGCTCTCCAAGGCCTTGCGGAGAAGAACAAGAACTTGTTTTTGCAAACGGTCTCGCACCCTATAAGCATAATGAGCCTCTTCAATCTCTTTGTATTCCATTTCTGACTCGCGAGGAAAGAGCTTCCTCGCAATGCCTTCGCATATCAGGGTTGATTTGTCGTAAAATGAGTCCAGAGAGGGACACCATTTTGAGGCCAAACTGATTTTCTCAGTCTCACCAGAATCAAGAAATTGAAGATCGGACTTGAGAAGGTCAGCAAAGAGTTTGGCTATCTGATCGTGCAAGAACCTGTAAGCAATGTTGGTTTCATACATCTTGACAGCCCTTTTTGCCTTTTCAATCTCATTCTTCTTCTTCAAAGCTCTTGCGTTCTCGTCCACCTCCAGGGCACTTTCTCTCTCCTTTCTATTCTCTCTTTTCTCCTCGGTTCTTTGATCTTTAGACTTTTCAAGTACTCTGAGGAGAATCTCAAGCAAGTCTTTCAGGCAACCATGACTCGCGAAAACCCTAACATTGCATGCTAGGGTTAGAGGGTGGTGTTGGTGAAGCCAAAGCACTGCTGCAAAGAAAACGTCATTATTGTCGGTGGTGGCGGAGCTTTTTCCGGCTACTCGAGCACGGCGGAGGCTACATATGATTTTGAGAGTGGTTGGTGGGTCGTGATCCCAAGCCTCTTGGAGGAGGTGGTTCAGATTTGGGAGCAGTGAATCTGAGAAAAATAAATCTAAGCAAGGGTTTTTGGGGGGTAATAAAGTGGGAGGGAGGTTTTGTAATTGACCAAATCTGAGAAAAATAAATCTAAGCAAGGGTTTTTGGGGGGTAATAAAGTGGGAGGGAGGTTTTGTAATTGACCAATTGGCTGTGGCGGTGGCGGTGGTGGTGGTTGATTGAGACCACCGGCAGCAGGTGGTGGAGGAAGGCGTCGGAGACACGGTGGCCCCAAGAGATCTAGGGGAGGAGCCATGAATGCTATGATGGTGAGGCTAGTTGCAGTATATATAACGTAACGATTACTTGGCACCAAGGCGGCTACTCGAGCACGGCGGAGGCTACATATGATTTTGAGAGTGGTTGGTGGGTCATGATCCCAAGCCTCTTGGAGGAGGTGGTTCAGATTTGGGAGCAGTGAATCTGAGAAAAATAAATCTAAGCAAGGGTTTTTGGGGGGTAATAAAGTGGGAGGGAGGTTTTGTAATTGACCAATTGGCTGTGGCGGTGGTGGTGGTTGATTGAGACCACCGGCAGCAGGTGGTGGAGGAAGGCGTCGGAGACACGGTGGGCCTAAGAGATCTAGGGGAGGAGCCATGAATGCTATGATGGTGAGGCTAGTTTCAGTATATATAACGTAACGATTACTTGGGCACCAAGGATGGATTCCGATAATTAACGTAACGATTACTTGGGCACTTATTTTGGGCTATTTTTTCGCAAAGCTACATAAATCTCATTTTCAACGAAATATATATATTATATTAAAATTAATTAGTGTGTTTGGTTCTAATTTTTTTAATTTAATTTTTAAAAATTGAGTTTTTTTATTTTTGTTTTTGTTTTTAGTGAATATTTTTAACATTTTAAGTAATTTTTTTATTTTTTTTAGATGCATCTTATTTAGATGTATTTAAAAAATAACATATTTGTGAAAAAATATTTTAAAAAATTAATAAATACATAAAAATATGAAAAATATATTGAATTTTTGTATTTTTTGTATTTTTGGTATTTAGTAAATTTTGTAAAGATTTTTTTTACAAAAATTATACTTTTTAAGTGTATTTATGTTAGGCGTGTTTAAAAATTAAAAAAAAAAGCTTAAAATATTAAAAAAAATTCAATGAAAAAAAAAATACATAAAACAAAAAGTAGAATTTTCTTAAAATTAAATTTTAAAAATCAAAACCAAGTAGAGTGATTTTTTTTTCTTTTTTTTAAATATCTTTGGGATGTGTCTGTGAGATGCTATACCTGTTTGGTAGCACATATAGAAGTTTTATTTAGTTTATTTTATTTTTTTTGGTTACAATTTTGAATTATAATTTATTTGTCCAAAAAAGTAAAATTTTCTTAAGTTATAAATTGTAATTTTTTAATTTATTTGAAATCATTAAATACATATTATCAAAAAATACATATTAAGTTTAAATTTTTTAACATATTATCAAAAAATACATTAAACATATTTATAATTAATTTTAATTTTTTAAACTGATAATTTAAAACGTATAATCATAAATGTTAACTCATAAGTGACACTAAATGGGCTGATATCATCCAATTGGACTTAAAAGGATGCAAATCTCGTTTGGGGATGTGGTCAAACCTCCTTATGAATAAAACTTTAATGTATTAAAAATAATTATAAAAAGGTTATTTTTGAAAAAGTCAAATACATTTCACTATTATTAAAATATTAAACTTTAAAATAATATAACTTTTGATGTAAATGTTAGTTTTTAATAAAATTAGTATTTTTAAAATTCTCTCATCAAGATCTATAAAATAAGATCCATGTTGACTATGAAATTTAAAAAAAAAAAAATTATTACCGTCAAAATTGATGTAAACAGTAATAGTAACATATTACTCTATTTGACAGTAACGTGTTACTCTAACAATTTTATCCAAGAAAAAAAAAGAAAATATTTTACTTTGTCCCAATTATGTGTTTTCTCTTTAAGGGGTTTATGGAGTAAAATAAATTGGATGGTCCTTTTCATCAAACAAGGTCTAATACATGAGTTTTGGCTAAATTTCTCAATCTGGTTTGCCAATTGAATTTGATGCCTAATTTACAATGATTATTATTTTTTTTAAATGTTAGGCTCAAAACCAAGTTAATATATCTAGAAAAATGCTTTAGAACTCAAATTTTCCGTGGCTCGAGTGGCCCGAATCCAAAATGATGTTGTTTTGGTTTTTTTTTCCCCCTCTTTTATATTTGAAACAAAGGAAGGAAGGAAGAGAGAGAGAGAAGGAAGGGGGAGTAGAGAGGAAGAGAGAAAAGGGAAGGGGAACAGACCATCACTGGCACTGCCATCACCGGCACCTACCATCCTCTGTGTGTATACACAGATGTGTGTGTGTGTCTCTCTCTCTCTGTGTATCTCTCTCTTTCTCGTTCTCTGTATGTCTCTCTGTGTGTGAAGTCTTTGTATAATAATGATAATGTGTTGGTTGTTGATGATGATGATGATGTGTTGGTTGTTGATGATTTGAATCTCTCATCTTCTTTTCTTTCTTCTTCTTCTGTGAGTTATGGAAAGGATGAAAAAAAATAAAAAAAAGAGTCCAAAACAACGTCATTTTGGGATTTTGAGCCACTCGAGCTTCTACTTTTTCAAGCTACGTAGCAGGATTGATATATCTGTTAGCTTTCTGTAAGAATTTTCATTCATTATATATAAATTTTCTGTAAGAATTTTTTAGTTTGCATTTACAACTAATTATAGATTTGTACTTATGATGCATCACAAGAATGCACTTTGCTTACTCACAGGATCAAGTTGGGTACTCTTCCTCGTCTCAATTACATCGGATTGGTTCAGTTTGAGCATTTGGACTTACCAAAAGTTTTTTTTAATGATTGAATTCGTTTATTTTATAAGTTTTAATGCGGTGTATTGTGTCTTTGAGTGATTATAAGATCGAGTATGATGTATTATACCTTTGCAAGTAGGACTTGTTTTTCATTTTCTTTATTACTAAATTACATACCTTTGCATACATATTGCATGTATATTCACTGTTAATATTGATATATGTGACTTTATATGTATATATAATTTAATCTTTTAATTATATTAGTTAATACATATTTTTTCATAAAAAATCAAAAAGTTAACCCAAATATTCATATTTTTTTTTTCAATTTTGTAGTCAAAAAAATAAAAAGTATACTTATTTAGGACACCCTAAACAATCTCTTAATATAATATTTTATTTTATTGAACTAAAAAATTTATTTTTATTCTTTTATGATTATTTTAGGGGGGAAAAAAAATCCAAAATCCTTCCATGTCAAAAAATAGTGACAGTGGGTCAGTAACCCAAAAGTCACGCTGAGGGAACAATGCCAAGAATAGCTTCTTCTCTTTTCAGGGTATTTTGGTAAATTTACCCCACAAGGAATTGAACCCAACACATTGATTTCTGTTTTGTCTGGACGTGGCTAAATAAGCCTAATTTGTCCGAACGTGGCTAAAATAACCTCAGTTTTGCTTCCCAAACGGTACCTAAGGCCTCCACATGTCTAATCTCAATTTCTTATTTTTTTCAATTAAAATAATAAACTATTCACATGGCTCACATAATTTTTGAATTAATAAATAAAAAAATTTCAAGCCTATCTCCTACAATCATTGTCTAAAAGATGTTCATTTCCTAAAATCAAATATAGATACACGGTTTGTTGACCTTCCAATTATTGGTTCATCTTCTAAAATCTCTACATAAAATCTTTCATTACCTAAAATAAATTAAACAAAAATCAATTCAAATCTATTTAAATTGTTTTGTTTGATTTTGTTTCCTTATGATTAATTTGGAAAACTAATTTGGTTATTTCCTTATAAACAAATTAAATAAACTTATTTGGTTTTTTCCACACAAAATTAGTGAATTTTGAAGTTTTAAAAAAATAATTTAAAAATAAAAAAAAAGAATTCATGATTTATGATTTAGAAAAAGAAAAATGAAGATCTTTTTTGTGCACTATTTCTCTAGCCAATTCTTTCTCCTATCCCAAAACCCTAGCCGGCATTCATTATACCTTATCCAAATCATTCACGTCCTCCTCATCCAATAAATATTACATTCATGTAATGATGCAACTTATTATTTTTTCTCTATCTTTATGAGACAATTGAAGGTTTGTTAATATTTAGTTTATTTTATTTTTTAAACAGATTCTTTCATCTTTTAAGTACATCTTTTTTTTCTTTTTTTAAATTTTTACTTCTGACCATTTTTTGTTTTTACATTTCATATTTTATGTATCATTTGTCTCTCTACTCTCTACTGAACATTATTTATTTATTTTCTTATAACTTTTTTTTTTTTGGTTGAAAAAATATTATTTCGCTAGAATTTGTATGCAAATTTTACCCTAAAATGATGTAATAGTGTCATTTGTATAATAAAAAATATGTTAATGACTCTTTATTATAAAGTGATAGATCAAAATATAACCAAATCATTATTAATAATTTTTTTGTATTGATTTTATGTTTCTTTTTTTATTTTGCTTTTGATATTTTGTGACATCATGATATGTGTTAATTAACAATTGGTGTAGTAATTATTTTTTCTTTAATATTTTTATTGAAAAATTTAAAATTCCTTATATATTGATTTGTGATTATGTTTCAATTTTAAAAAACAAATATCAATCCTAATTAAACAATTAATAACAAATCGACACAACGATTTAACGTGAAAAAAATCACGGGCTAAAATCACAAAGCAATTTACTAAGAAGACAAAAAGAAATTACACATGTGTACCCTCAATTACTTAGTGAATCCACACCCGAATTGAACTGACCCCGATGTGTCTCTTCTACCACCGTCTTCACATCAGAATTGTCTTGCCCAACATTGAATCTACAATACTGATGTCGAATCCACAACTATAAGTCACTTCAGAATCTACCAAAGTTTCAGGCTCAAGTTTCTTGGAATCCACCGAAGAATACCTCTCTTTTGTGAACGTAACAGTAAAAACAACTCCTAAATGAAGTTAATATGAAGTTCGTAGATTCATTGATCACTCTCAAATTATCAAGGAAACACTTATAAAACACCCTCCAATATACCATACTTTGGTTTTTCTTCCTCTCTAAAAGTCTAGATGGATTGAATCCTAAAATAACAAATGACGCATTTTATAGTAAGCAAGATCGCAAAAACCGCTAAAGAGCACATTTCACCTCTTGAGCGGTGTAAGTGAAGGCGATACAAAACATATAGGCTAACCATTCGAGCGTAACATTCACATCTCGAATGATAAAACTTGCTTTCCAGATGTTCAGTTTGCAGACAGAGATACTAACGCTCCACTTCACCGCTGAAGCGCACAAATGATCGCTCAAGCGATCAAACATCCTGGACCCCTGCAAGTTGACCGAGCAGTTTGATACCGGTACATAGTCAACGAAGTGACAAACATGAAAGTCTCAAGATCACAAACTCCTATGCATAGGCACCATTCGGGTTGGATTTATATCTGAATACTCACATCATCATTGAAACAAAAGAACAAATAGAATTACAACTGAAATGAGTTTTGTCAAACGAAATTGTCAATTACTAAAACCTAACAACTTTTATAACTTCACTTTAATATTTTTATTTGCAGTTGATTTTTGTTTAAAAATATCAATTCAAAAAATATTTACATAAACAAATATCTGTCTAGTTTTGTTTGAATTGATTTTTGTTTAATTCTATTTTAAAATATTATAAAAATATCTACAGTGTCTCAATTAAAGTGAAGTTATCATCATAATTACAACACTATAAAAAAAATTAAATTATTCTATTTTTTCAAAGCTATTAAATATGCATAAATATGTACATTTTATTACGATTTTTTTATTTTTTTGTTTTTTATTTTATTTTACTAATGATGTATGTTTACCAATTAAAAAAAATATTTACATAAACAAATTGGTCAAGTGACTCTTCATTTTGTGTTGATTGACATAAATTTAACATGACTTAAAAATAAAGTTAAATTTTAAAAAATTTAAAAATACCCTTACATTTTACGATCGACTTAAATTTATTATGTTCTGTTAATTGACAAACTAAATTTTACTAATACAATAATATTTTTCCTAATGTACTTACTGAAATAAAAATAAAAATAAAAATATTTCATTTCTATTTTTGTGCCCCATTGCCTTAAAAATAAAGAGAGATAGAAGATGAGTGGGACAAAGGAAGAGAGACCCCAAAAAAAAAAGTAAAATAAGATTATTATATCACTTGACAAATTGTGGTACGATGAATTATAATTACGAATTTCGTTGATCATGAAATTATACTTAACCAAAAATATAATTTTTTTAATTTTCAAAAATTCATTTGTTTTGATTTTACCAATTGAATTATTATATATCTATTTGTTATATAATACTTCAGACAAAACATTAATAGCAACAAAAAATAAAATAAAATAAATTTGTGTAACTCATGCCATGTTTGAGATTTTTTATTAAAAAGTCAAGAAACTAAAGAGCTGTAAAATGTGTTTGGCATATATAAAAAAAAGAATTTGTACTAGTTTGGAAAGACTAATAATTTTTGTGAGTGAGGACAAGGTATTTACTCCCTTTTGAAGGGTAAAACGGAAAATTTAAGTAACAAATAAAAATATTTGCATTTTCTCGTATAATTAAAAAACTCATTCCTACATACATCAACTCTTCTTTTTTTTTTTATCTCTTAAAAAATTCAAAAAACCACTTAATCAAACACTCTTTTTGTTAAAAAAAAAAAGAAGAAGTTAAAACTTACTTAATATTATTTATTTATTATTTTTAAAAAATTATTTTTAATTAATTTAAAAAAAAATTTATCAAATTATTATTTAATTCTGTACATAACACGTGATATGCTTAATATTATATATAATGCTAAATAACAAAAATCACGGTTCATACCATCCACGATTTATTATTTTAACAAAAATAATTTGCTTGCATCAAATTTATTGGCCTTCCAAAAATTTTATTTAAAATCTCGATATGTAATATCAATCAAAAACAAGAAGATCCACATCCTTGTATCTTTCTCCAAGACCGGTCAGTGTTATCAAATCTTCCTGTTTGGGAAGCGATTTCATTACAACATCCAGATTCTCAACCCCTTCTCTCTTCAAGAACAAGTTTATCAATCTCTTCAAAAACCCACTTATCATAATCTCCACACTCTTCATCCCTGTAGGGGTGACAATCATCACACAACAATTAACAGTGTCTCTGAGGTTGAAAAACACCACCTCGGGCACTGTTTTGTGTCCTCTCTTCCTATAATTCTCCCAAACCTCTTTGTAATTTTCCTTTTCATAGTTCTTGGCTACTTTGCAGAACTCATTTTCACTGAACATAAATACCCTTTTCACCATCTTGTCTTTGCTCATCTTCCCATTCATCAAAACTTGCAAAATTCGATCGAAAACTTTGCAGAAATCGACTTTGTGGTTGTCGTTGTTGCTGAACGCCAACTGTTTGATGTATTGTGCCTTTGCGTGAGGATTGTCTCCTTCGATTTTTCGGAGCTTGGGACGATCGTTGAATGTGAATACTTTCCCTTTCCATGGCCCGTCGCTGAGTTCTGAAATCAATAAGCTCATTGCAAGTCCAATATTCATTATTGCTGCTTTCCCCGAAGCGTCGCAAATTGCGATACTGTTCTTCAAATTCTCTGTTTTTAACAAGTCCTCAACAAGTCTGCGCCGCTGAGTATCTGCAGTCTCGCTGCAGGTGTTGGGGTCGAATGCAGACGTGAATTGATGAGCGAATAACGATTCATCGCTCTTGTTTGCATACTTGGCAGCGATCATAGCGTAAAACCTAAACCTTTTATCGACCCCTTTTGCAATAACCTTCCTAAATGTGCTTGTTCTTCTTGTTCTTGCAGATTGTGGATCTGAAATTGAATCCTTCTCTCTAGTTGCTAAAGCTTTGCGAAGAGGGACGAGAACTTCTTTGCGCAACCTTTCTCGAACCCTATATGCATAATGAGCTTCTTTAATTTCTACGTACACAGAATCCGATTCTCGTGGGAAAATTCTTCTTGCAATCCCCTCGCATATCAATGTTGATTTATCGAAAGTAGAATCAATTGATGGACAATGTTTAGAAGCAAGGCCGATCCTTTCTACATCACCAGATTTCAAAAACTCAAGATCAGACTTCAGAGACTCAGCAAACAAATCAGATACTCTGTCGTGCAAGCGTCGATAATTAGAATCACATCGATACTTACCGACAACCCTCCTCGCCCTTGTAATCTCTCTCTCCTTCTTCGTCATCGAACGAGTCTGTTCTTCAGGATCAACCAATGATCTATCAAGAATCACAAGAAAATCTCTCAAGCACCCAAAACCGGAAAAAATCCTAATATTGAAAGCTAGGGTTAGGGGGTGGTTTTGGTGGAGCCAAATCACCGCAGCGTAAAACCATTCTTTGTTAGGACAACTACAGAGGTGACATATGAGCTTGAGAGTGGTCAGTGGATTACTACTCCAAGCATGTTTTAACCAAGAGGTCAGATTTTCCGGCAGCCCATTAAGGTTGAGGTGGAGCAAGACATTGTTAAGTGGTTTTTGAGAGGAATCAGGAGGGGTTTTTCCGGTGGTATTGGCCGGAAGTAGTTTTCCGGCGGTGTTTGGAGGGTGGAGAATTGGAGGGCCAGTTAGCTGCTTGAGGAGGGTGTAGTACATACTGAGGCTAATATTCACTCACTTGTTTGTCAGTTCCTAGATTACTGGGTCTGTTTGGTAACGTTTACGTTTTCAGTTTATATTTACAAAAATTTTATAAACTGGTTTTTATTTATTTTTTGTTTATTTTTTGTTTATTTTTAGAAAAACATAAACTACAAACGCGTTTGGTAATTAATAAAATGTTTAAAAAATTTTAAAAATATAAAAAAGTGTGAGACATGGCAAGTGGTGGCAAGTGGCGACGAAAGACGGTGGTGGAAAGTGGTGACGGTGGGTGGTGGGTAGCTGGTAGTGGGTGACGGTAGCAGGTGGGTGGGTGATGGTGGCGGGTGGTAGCGAGTGGGTGGCGGTGGCGGTGGCGGTGGCGGTGGCGGGTGGTGGCAGGTAGGTGGCAGATGGCGGGTGGTAGTGGGTGGTAGCGGGTAGGTGGCGGGTGGTAGTGGTGATGGGTGAGTGGGTGACTGTGGCGGGTGGTAGGTGGTAGCGAGTGGGTGGTGGGTGATGGTGGGTGAGGTGGTGATGGTGGCAGGCGGTGGGTAGTAGTGGCGAATGACGGTGGTGGAAATATTATAGGTTAATAATATACATAACTATTAATTCTTA